CAACACTAAAACAAAAAAATTTTTTTTTAAAGAAAGAGAAATGTGGTAGGAAACAGCCAGGAGGAAAGTGAGGTGGCTCTTTGCCTCTGTAAGCCCCGCTCTGTTTTATTCCTGTCCCACATCCCCCATACAGAGACACCCTGTCCCAGTGCCCTTCGGCTTCTTTCTGAATTGTGCTAAAGGCCCATGAGAACCAGGTTCAATGGTCCTCTGATGCCCCCTGCAGGGTTCTCAAGGCAATTTGCTCTTTTTTTTTCCCCTTTTTTCTTTCATTTTTTTTTTTAATTTGATTTACCAGACCATACTTAACCTTTGTATAGAAACCTGGGTCCAATAATGACTTAGAGCAGTGATGGCGAACCTTTTGAGCTCAGCGTGTCAGCATTTTGAAAAACCCTAACTTAACTCTGGTGCCGTGTCACATATAGAAATTTTTTAATATTTGCAACCATAGTAAAACAAAGATGTATATTTTTGATATTTATTTTATATATTTAAATGCCATTTAACAAAGAAAAATCAACCAAAAAAATGAGTTCGCGTGTCACCTCTGACATGCGTGTCATAGGTTCGCCATCACTGACTTAGAGCAACGACAGATTTCAACAAGTATGGTCCTGGGAATTACTTTCATATCAGGCTTTGGCATTCCCCATATTAATGAAATGAGAGATTTCATCATGATTTATAAAAGACTGGCTGTGTAGTTTGCTGTGATTTAGTCAAAATGCATGGACCTTGTTAAGAAGACCTGGCTTTGAATTCCTTTCCCATCACTTACTAGCTGTGTGGTCCAGGGAAAATTCATTAATCTCTTGTTAATCCTTGCCTGAGGATATCTTGCCATTGATTTTTAGAGAGAGTGGAAGGGATGGGAAGAGACAGAGAAACATCAAAGTGAGAGAGACACATGGATTGGCTGCCTCCTGCACATCACCCTGGAGGTACGTGCCCTTGACTGGGTTCAAACCCAGGACCCTTCAGTCTTTGGGCCAACGTTCTATCCACTGAGCCAAAACGGCTAGGGCTGTTTCCTTGCATTTAAAAGGGAGCTATCGCCCTAAGCGGTTTGGCTCAGTGGATAGAGCTTCGTCCTGCGGACTGAAAGGTCCCAGGTTCGATTCTGGTCAAGGGCATGTACCTTGGTTTCGGGCACATCCCCAGTAGGATGTGTGCAGGAGGCAGCTGATTGATGTTTCTCTCTCATCAATGTTTCTTGTTCTCTATCCCTCTCCCTCTCTGTAAAAAACCAATAAAATAAAAAATAAAAAAGGGCTGCTATCAAGATAGATCTTATAGGGCTGCTATGAGAGTTAAATGAGATGCTATGGGTATATAAAGTGCTTCATTCAGCATCTAGTACCTGGTAGCTCCTCAGTAAGCTTTTATTGCTTTAGTCCAGTGGTTCTCAACCTTCTGGCCCTTTAAATACAGTTCCTCATGTTGTGACCCAACCATAAAATTATTTTCGTAGCTACTTCTTAACTGTAATGTTGCTACTGTTATGAATCATAATGTAAATATCTGATATGCAAGATGGTCTTAGGCGACCCCTGTAAAAGGGTCGTTCGACCGCCAAAGTGGTCTCGACCCACAGGTTGAGAACCGCAGCTTTAGTCCAAAGAGAAAAGTATATTGTTAAGAGCTCTACGTCCCTTGTGATACCAGAAGCCAATTCATAATAATAATTAGGTGTTACTCCGCTGCTAACAGTCCTTCAGTGCCTCCTCTCTTAAACCCTAAGCTCATTGGTATGGATGGTCATAGTCTTTCAGGATACTGAAGGCCCTGCCTGTTTCCCCAGCCTCATTTCTCCCTACACCCCCTCCTAACAAATACCCAAACCCCACAGAAACTACTGGTAATTCCATGAACTTGCCAAATGATTCCACACTCTCCTTTGGCATGAAAATCACTCTTAGATGCCCTGCCCCTGCATGTTCACTTCCGCCTCATCTGCTCCTGCTCACCCTCAAGGCTTAACTCAAACTTCACTTGCTCAGGGATTTAGCAACCCATACGAGAACAATTTCACTAGGAATCGACTGTAGCTTTCTTTTTCAAGTCTGTTAAGGCATTTGGATTAGTGTCTAATCCTAAATGGTTTTCTACAATAGTAAAGGCAGTATGGCCGACAGTAATGCCACAACTACAGAAGTGGATTTGTTTCTTGAGTCACATGTTGGTGCCTTAAAATCTGTATTGAACATTTATAAGTATTTATAAATGGTGCTGTTATTACTCATGGCATACCAAAGCAAAATAAGCTTTTTAAATTAGAATCCTGTAAAGAATGCTGCTTATCCGGTTCAGCTGATCCCACTCATTACCAGAATTTTCATCTAACAGCTTGGTCAGGTCCATCAATCCAGCTGCCTTTGCATTACAAATATGGGGATCCTTAACTCTGAGTTCAACAAAAGCAATATTGAAAAAGAACAACCCAGCATTCTGTAATAAAACCAACATAGCAGAATCTTCTCAGGAATGCATCATAACATCCATAAAACTCTACATTTGATGGTGTAGGCACCACAACATATCACTTTCTCCATGCATTCCATCTATAAATAGAAATGATAATGGCAATTTCACACGATTATCCTAGTGATTAAGTGCAGATAAAAAGTGGGGACTTACCAGCATCTAGATGGTGTTTGAATCCAATAGAATTGATGAAATAACCTGGAGAGAAAAAGTTGAGGGAGGGGAGGGAAAGGGCCCAACCTCCTTCTAAATGTTTCCCATTCATTTGTTCATTCACCAAGCATTTTCTGAGTGTCTATGGTCTGCCAGTTACCATGCTAGACACCAGGGATGCAGAGACATGGAGAAAGCTTATCGTCTCCTAAGGGATTCAGCACAAAAATATGTGCTTAATTACAAACGATGATAAGTGCTTTAAAGGAAAAATTCCAACTACTATGAGAGAAAATGGGACTGAGGACCAAATTCAGATGAAATAAAATATTGTATGTAAAGCAATTTAGCACAGAAGCAGACACACAGTAAACACTTTGGTCAAGGACAGTCCCACTAAGAAAGTGACAATTATGCTGAGACCAAAGGATTAGTAGGAGTTAGTCAGGTTGGGAGTCAGGGGGAGATGGGAAGGGCATTTGCCAGCTGAGGAACAACACACAAGAAGGCCCTGGGGCTGCTAAGAGCCTAGGGTATTCCAGGACCTGAAAAGGGACCTGTGTGGCTAGAGCACGACAGTTAAGAAATTACAACAGCCTCTACCTGGCTCCCCAACGTAGAAATCTCCTTACCATATGTGATTAAAATGACCTGAAGACCCACACAACAACACTAGATACTAAATCAAGATGGTAATGATACAAATGAATTGTACCTGCCTGAAAATGAGACTGAAGTCTACGGGTTCTCTTCCCAACCTCCGTTTTCAATCATCCTTCTCCTACTACACAAAGGAAAGGCACACTCTTCATCCAGAATCTCACTTCAGGTTGCCAATACATTCTTCCTGAGGAAAAGTCCAATGACAACAAACCTGAGAGAGATTCACCAAGAATATTAAATGAGGCAGCAACTTGTCATCATCCAGGTTATGTATAAATGCAACTTAAAATGTATAAATTTAACCTAAAATTCAGAAGTAAAATGGTTATCAGAGAGATACCTATTAATATCATTATTTGAGTTTAAAAAAGACAGACTTTTTCTAATAGAAACCCCAATTTGGCTGACTGTTTTTCCAGTGAGGATTAATTTCGACAATTAATTCATATGGTGAGCATTTTCCAAAACTTGAATGAGCTAAATCTGCAGCCCCAACATTTTGATGAAAATAAATTGAAAGTGCATATTCATTATACGAGTCACAAAAGATTATGAACCTTACAACTACTTAAGTTTATGAGGAAAATCTTAGATATCAACTTTAATAAGTACAAGAATATAAAATTTTTCAAAATTATTTTAAGGTTATGCTAGCAAAAAACAAAATGTGGAGACCACTAGCTTACATGAAAAACTTAAGAGTATCTGCTACCTAGATGGGGTGGGTGGGGTGTGGAACAAGGAGACATCAAGAGGAATCCCTAGATTTATAACCAGGAAATTTAAGTTTGAACGCCACTCAAAATTCTTGTATGTTCATGGTTCATTAAGGCACATCAACGCCAAATGGGGGGAAAAATGATAAAAATAAAATTGTAAAAGCATCCAGAGGAAGAAGGCAGATCATGTATAAAGATAAGAGTGACATCAGATTTATTGCCAAAAATAATGCAAGTGATAATAATATAGTAGAGGAATATCTTTAAAATACTGAAAGAAATACTGTCAACACAGAATCCTATACTTGGCAATAATCTTTCAAAAGTGACAGCAAAAAAATAATGACATATTCAAACACATGAAAGCTGAAAAGAATACATTACCACACTACAGACTACAAGAAGCCACAGAAAACTACACTGTAAGAAATATAAAGGATGGCTCAGGCAGAAAAAAAATGAGCCCAGATGAACCCTGGCTGGGTGGTTCAGCTGGTTGGAGCGTCATCCCATACATCATTAGGTTGTAAGTTCAACTCTGAGTCAGGGCACAAGCCAGCTTCTGGGGAGACCTTCTTTGTAAAGGACAGAGAAGGCCAGGTAACTTCTAACTTCGTGATTCCTACGGAAAGAGAAGGTCCTGGCAATAGTAAAAGCGGATATACACTCTTTTGCGTTCTCACAAGTAAAAGAGGAAGCAGAGGCCAGGTGCAGTTCAAGTATCTGTACAAGGTGTTAAGGGGTGGAGGGGAAGTTTGAACTCAGGTTTGTCTCCAAAGCCAGAGATAACACATCCTTCAGATGTTCCTACGATTTCGAGTTCTATTTGGAGAAGACTTCAGGACTTTTAGCTCCGCGGAAAGGTTTTAAGAGGTGGACAAGGGCATTTTAAGCATACACTCTGCACCCAGAAAGTTCTCGGGAAGCCAGTACCAGGGTCTTGCCCATGGCCGCCTGAGGAAACACTAGATTCCTGCAATGCACTGTGTGTGCTCCTACCCGCCCCAGGGCCTTCAGTCTTCTGCCGGAGGGCCCCTCGCTGGGGAACAAAACCGCGCTGAGCTGGGCAGCAAGGGAGCCGGCGGAAAGACGGCGACTCCTGCACTCGCAGCGCGCAGGCGCCAGGGGTCGCTGTGCCGCAGCGGCGGGTCGGGCCAATCCCGCCCCTCCCTCCGCTCCCGCCCCGGCGCCCCTCGCGAGCACGTGGCCTTGGCGCCAGGCTCCGCCCCCCTGTCACGGCATTAAGAGGAGCAGCGGGCGTGCCGCCGGGAGGGTCGGCGATCGCCGCGGGCCGGGCCGAGTCCCCGCGCGCCCTGGGAGCCATGCTGGGGCGCTGCGCCGCGCGCGCGCTCGGGGCCCTGCGCGGCCTGCGGGAAGGCGCGCCGCCGGCGAGGAGCCCAGGACCCTCGCGGGTGAGTTCTCGGGGCGGAGAAGTGGGCGCTGTGGCGACACGGTCCGTCAAGAAGGCACCTTGAGCGGTGCACGTGTTATCTCAGCCAACTGATGGCAGAATCCAGGCCCAGAGGCATCCGCGTTCGCGGCCGCAGGACCTTTCAGCCCCGAGGTTGAAACCAGGAGAGACCGCGTAGGAAGGTGACGCCGTTTTGAAAGCGTGCAGGACGTTTGACTCTGGTGTGTAAGTGAAGGACTTCCCCTGCCACTAATGTTAATAAGGGAAGGTTACGTTATTCAAACAAGGTCACGCCGCAAACACGTGGCAGGGTTGCGTCGGAGGCTGGCTCTTACCGTTACACCCTGCTGCACTCTCTCCCCCGGGTTCAACCCTAATTTCCTCTGCTTGGCAGATAACCAGACCCTGTCTAAGCCAGTTTCCTCATAGGAGTTAAAGGAGATAATGCAAGCAGAGTGGTTCACACGGGGCCTGGCGTTAATAATAAAGAGATTATTGTCTTCTATCACTGTTTTTATACCACCAAGTTTTATTTCATTGGTGTAGTCAATATTCACTTAATTTGGAAGAAATGTGAAATTTCAAAATTAAAAAAATACATGTACTGCCCGGCCTGTGTGGCTCAATGGTTGAATGTTGACCTATGAACCAGGAGGTCACAGTTCAGTTCCTGGTCAGAGCACATTGCCTGGGTTGCTGGCTCCATCCCCAGTGTGGGGTGTGCAGGAGGCAGCCGATCAATGATTTTCTCTCATTGATGTTTCTATCTCCTTCCTTCCTCTCTGAAATCAATAAAAAGTATATATATATATACTTTTTAATAGTCTGATGGTTTTATTAACAAGTACATAATACATATATTGCATACTGTATATAGTATATGAGGACTGTACAGTACAAATTTATGTTCACAGTTTGACATGACAAAATGTTATTACTGAATTCCCATTGGACTTCAGAGTAGAAACAGAGAAGGTACATTAAACATTCACATCTTTAGTAAGAAAGATTACCAAAATGTTTCAGTATTTGCAAGTATACTAATGCATGCTAAAAACCTTTACCCATTCAGTCTTATTAGCTTATAAAATATATTACACTTTATTAAAAATTTCTGCATAGTTTATACTAGTATTAAAGTACTGTAAATGTAATGATCCTGCTATACTTGCAGGTATGGTTTAAGAGATGCTAAGCAGAAAGATTATTTTGACCCTCTAACACTAAGTACATATCAGCAAAAAAAAAAAAAGTGCTAGTATTTGTAAAACTTAATATTGTAGCCCTCGTTTAATGCATGGAAAATGGCTTTGCAAATGTATTATTTCATAAGTGGATTTGCAATCATTTAGAAATTGTTAACCTTGTTAACCTTGACCAAGAAGAGAATATATATATATATATATATATATATATATATATATATATATATTGCTTAAAATGTACTATGTGCTATAATGAAGTACTATATCGAGGAGGGAACCGCTCTGTATTGAGCAAGAACTGGAAGCTACTGTAGCTTTCTTTTAAAGAATGATAAAGTGCAGATTGTTAATCCTGTATCATCTTACACTTTAGAAAAGAAAATGTCCTGGGCTGATTTTACAACAAAGATAAATCCGTTTCCTTAATTCAGTGGTTCTCAACCTTCCTAATGCAGGATGGATCTCATACAAATGAGGACTCCAAATCCTTGAAGTTTGATTGATCCAGAAGGCACTGTCCTGACTGATCAGAATGGAGCCACTTTGGTCAGTGAAGATGTTGATGGGAATATAGCAATATGGCTCCTACTGGATGGGGAAAGCCTCAGTCCTATGGGTTGAAATAGGATTCCAGGAGCTCCTTTATAAGGGCTGGTTCAGATGGCAGAAGACAGTGCAGGCAGTTCAGTGCAAGCACGCTCTCACCTCCACCTGCACCACCCCACACTTTAGGAGGAAAGAGGGGAAGCTAATGGCCTGCTACTCAGAAAAGCCAAGGACTCAGAAGTCTTCTGGACTTGATTGGGCTCTGACATAAGGAAATGCATGACTGTGCACCTGCCTAGATAGAATCAGTGATCTCAAGACCATCTTGCATATGAATGAACAGGAACCAATCAATTACTTCTTAAGACCACTTTGAAATCTTACTAAAAGCAGTTCATTTTCCTGTGTCATTTCTACCTTCCTCTCCCATACTATGTGGCTAGGAAGCCCAACCTTTGACCTCTGTTATTCAAAATACATACATGTGATTGATTCTACCTGCTTCATTTTTGCAAGTCCAATAAAGCTGACTCAAATGACGTTTTTAAATCATAGCAGACTTTTTTCTCTTTTTCTGGCACCAATCCAATCGGGTAATCTATTTTTCCCCCAATACTCCTAGGATAGTTGGCCTGTGTTACCACACCTTTGGTAAAATTTCTAAAATCAAAGCATAGAATATTTCTTTATATCAATGAGACTCTTTGAAGAGATGTGTCATATAATTTTTTTTCTTAGCCTTCAGAGAAGGAAAGCAGTGGGAGTCTTATTCAAACTGCTTATAGATAAAATGAGTAATTCTTTCCATATAACCTCAAGCATACATCTTTACACCATTGGCCATACGCTGGCCCCAAGTCCCATAGCCAAGCCTTTGCCTCTCAGTCTTGCTTATCTTCTAGAAAAGAGATCCCTCTCTTCTGTCCCAAATCACCTCCACTGGAAACCTTGAGCTCACGTGCTTGTCTTCCTTAGTGAGTGTGGTACCACCTATCATGGGAATCTTGCTGTTCAGGGAACTGCTGGGGTGCCATTCCCATTTCCCATCATGAGTTCCCCTCTGGCTGGGAGTGCTTCAGAGGTGTACTCATTGGGTGGAAACGGGGCGGGAGTTGCTGGGGAGAAGCTTATATGTGGTTACTAGATGCTGAAACCCAAGGGAGCAAAGAAGCTGTGCTTAGAAAACAGTGCCACCCAAGTCCACGGTGGACTCCCAGCCTAGAGCAAGGCTACTTGGACAGGACAGGCAATTTTCTACCATTAACCCATTTGTTATATTTCTTAATTTATATAAGCCCTTCATTTCTTTAAGTCAAATAAGCAGAGCTCTTTTTATCCAGTTCTGAAGAATGCACTCCAGGGGGCTGCGTTTGGGTATCGAGTTTGAGTTTTTCCCATAGCCGACACACACATTTACATATAAGACAAAAGGCAAATGAAAATATACCCACAAAGAAGAAAATTCAACTCCTGCAGGACAACCAGACCAGAGAGTCTCACCAGAGGATGTGTCGGATTGCCCAGCAGACATTCCTCAACCCCAGAGTTAGACAACCCAACCAGAGACTGTCACCTAAGGGTGTCTTGGATTGCTCGCAGGCGTTTCTCAACCCGCCAACCAGCGGACCACTGGTGGTTCGTGAGGTCCGAAAGGTTGGCGACCGCTGCTCTAGACCCTAGAGGTAAACAGCCAGACCAGGGATCATCACCTGAGGATGGTTTAGATTGTCCCACGGGTGTTTCTCAACCCTCGAGAATTAAACATAACGCTGTTCCCTGAATCTAATGTCCTGGAGGCTGTTCCTGCTTAACCAACCACAAGCTCAGTGCACACCAGGACTGAAATGACCTTTCCTACAACCCTATGCCCCAAATAGAAATACTGATTAAAGCAACCACAGGGGCTGACCTACCCACCTCCCTGTCGAAGCACTGAATGAAACAAGTTCAGTAGGCCATTTCACTTCACTGTCAAGGCAGGCTAGGCAGCCATTCCAGTGGTCAGCACCCAGTTGGAGTACCCTATAAAATAGATCCTCCATCCAGTTGAGACACAGGTGAATAAACCTTAGACAAGCTGCCACTGCCAACTGCTTCACCAGTGTCTATACCAGGCCAAGAGGGAGTTCTTTTAAGAGAGTCCCGTCTGGTCTGGCTGGTATGGCTCAGTGGTTGCGTGTCGACCTGTGAACCAGGAGGTCATGGTTCAATTCCTGGTCTCCTGACTGGGTTTCTTAGGGCTTGATCTCCAGTAGGGGCGTGCAGGAGGCAGCTGATCAATGATTCTCTCTCATCATTGATGTTTCTATCTCTCTCCCTCACCCTTCTCTGAAATCAATAAAAATATATTTGCAAAAGTATGAGTAATGACCGTAAGTGACAAAAAGAACTGCAAAAGGCATGGTTATAGATCTGATTATTTGCAATTGATAAAGAAATTTGCTCTTCTCTGTAACATAATATTTTAAGATACCAAATAGAACCCCTCCTAGAATCCCCAATCTGAGATGAATACCTCTTCCCTGTGCTCTGGCTTCCTATGCATACCCCACTGGTAGCACTTTTTACATGGAAAAAACTGTCTATCCTTCATTTATCTTTATTTCCAGTACCTGGCTCACCTGTGCTTGATTAAAGTTTGAAAAAAAGGGGGCGGGGGGGGGCGGGATCCACAGACCTGGGCTTGATGCTGCCTCTTCCAGTAGCTAGTTGGGTGACACTGAGCAAATCATTTACTTTATCACAATCCCCATTTTTCCCAGGGAGGTTGGACCAGATAATCCTTGAAATTTGCTTCCATTCTGAAATGAATGCTTCTGTGAAGAGGAAAAGCAGCAAAATAGTCTTAAAAATAGGCGAATGTGTTATGACATAGAATGCACCTCCCATTACTCTTCCTTCTCTTTTCTTTAGAGGTTGCTTTCTTCTGAGAAGGTCTCTGAGAAGGACCATTCTCTCCCCAAACCCTGCTGGAGCAAGGACATGAGGCTCCTCTTTGACCAGTTCATGAAGAAATGTGAAGATGGCTCCTGGATACATTTGCCTTCATATGAGGATATAGCAACTCAACGGAGTCAAGACTTCTCAACCTTTATTCATGGTAGGAACAGCAATTCACCCATAAAGAATATTTAAATATTGTCCTGGCTGGTGTTGCTCAGTTGCTTAAGCATCCTCCCATGCACCAAAAGGTCATCGGTTTGATTCCTGGGCTGTGCAGGAGGCAGCTGATCAATGTTTTTCTCTCACATAAATATTTCTCAATATGTATCTCCCCCGCCCCCCCGCCTCTCTTTTCCTCCCTCTCTAAAATCAATAAAAACGTATTTTCAAAAAGAATATTTAAATATCAAATATAAAACTAAGAAGAGATTGAAGCACGAGTTACCACTTGAAAAGGAGAGGAGTGTAATGCAGGGGTTTCTATAGTCTCCAGTTTTATAGACCAGAAATCTCAATGAATTTTGCAGTTTGTGGGGAGGCGTAAAGCCTTTTGCCAAGAATAAGACTGCCTCCCACTGGCATCCTCCTCACCATTAGCAGGAGTGAACAAAAGACCCCAGAGAGCCTCCACCCTCCCACAGCCCCAGCACTTCTCTGTGATGGCATCTTTCTCATACGTGTTTCTCATGTGCCCATCCAGCTTATTTCCCGACAGCCTCCGAGCAGATAAACAAAGAAAAGCTGTCACAGGGCCGGATCTTCACCAGAAGCTTTGAGGACGGCCTGGGCTTTGAGTATGTGATGTTCTATAATGACGCTGAGAAAAGGATAGTTTGTGTGTTTCAAGGAGGCCCCCACCTGCAGGGAATGCCTGGGTAAGAGTGCCGGCCTGAAAACGGGGGTCTAAAGGGGTGTGATTCACACACACTGCCCCTGTGTGTTCAGGGACTAGACTGGAGGCATTAAAACGGTGATGTAGAGACATTCGTTGACATGGAAAGATGTTTGTAATAAGTCACAAAAGCATAGGAGACATAAGGCAACAGTATGATTTGAGAGAGTATCATTGGCATGTTAACAGTGGCTTTGTCACTAGAGGGCCTCATAACTTTTTATTTATTTTTCATTTTCTTTTGTTTACCTACATTTCCTAAATTTTTACACGATGATGTGTATAGTTAGTTAAATGCAAACAGCAATTTTCTAAATTATATTTTAACGTTTTGCTTGCTTGTGATCTGATTACCTGGTGTATTATAAGTACTACACCATTATGGTATGAACACAGGAAAGTTGGGGACATGGATATTTGACATTCAGTACACTGAACATGGACAAAGTGGACCTTTCTTAAGCAAATTATGTGGAGATGCTTGGATAATCTCCCCCCCTCCAACCCCCCCGGCTAAGGGACTCTCTCTTTTCAGACTTTTTTGAAACACTTCTCTTTTCCTCTTATTATAACTAGATTTTTTCATGGAGGTGCCATTGCAACCATGATTGATGCTACTGTTGGTATGAATGCGATTGTATCTGGGGGGATCGTCATGACTGCCAATCTCAACATCAATTTTAAAAGGTAAATTCATGGGTATTCTCACTACTTAGGTGTCATAGGTCAGGTTTACCAGCAACAGAGCCTGAGACAAAGATGTATGTGCAAATAATTATGAAGGCGGTGCTCCCAGAAGCAAGCTAGCAAGGCAGTGGGAGACGCAGCACAGGGAAGGGGAAGAAGCCAACGGAGGTTGAGCTCACGGTCCCAAAAAGGGGAGCAGCTGCCTGATCACACATGGAACTTTGGAGTGAAACATGTGCCTCAGAATTGGCCCTACCTCAGGCAAAGGAACTGGAGACTTCACATCTCACACATCAATCACAGGCTAAGTCATAAGGAAATCCTACCTGGGGACCATAAATTCCCAGGCATGTCTCATCGTGAGCAGTAAATGAATCAATCCATGTAAACTCCCAGCACAGTATCTGGCCGCATAGTAGGTACTCAGTAAATGTTAGCGGCTTATTATTATTATTATTATTATTATTATTATTAACATTATTGTTATCATTACTTTTACTTCTAGCAACAAGGCACATCTGTGCCAGGGCAAGGAATAGCTACAAAGGTCCCTGATTCCTATCCATGGAGAATAGTGCTAAAGATCCGAAAAATATTAGACTGTTCCACCTGTGCCATGTTGAGCGGGATGACCTCACTGCTATAGATCGCTTTGGGTACTGTGGACCTCTTCAAATTATGAAGTCTTTCAACCCATAAACATGGGATATCTTTCCATTTATTTGTATTTTTAATTTCTTTCAGCATTGTTTTGCAATTTTCAGTTTTTGTGAATCAGCAAGAAACAATGAGTAACATCTCCCTTAGATCCTCAGGGACTTAAGGTATGATAATCAGATACACAATCTAACAGAACTGTGTATGAGGTGTTTAAAGAAATAAAAGATGAAATCACAAAAAGAGAATTTGCAAGTTTTTGGCCTCCTTAGTTAAGTTGATTCCTAAGTATGTTAGTTTTGATGCTATTATAAATGAAATCGATTTTTTAAATTCCCTTTTCAGATTGTTCATTGTTAATGTATAGAAATGCAGCTGATTTTTGTGTGTTGATTTTATATCCTGCAACTTTGCTGAATTCATTTATTAGTTCTAACAGTTTTTTGTGGAATCTTTGGGGTTTTCTACATACTAGATCATGTCACCTGTGAACAGAGATAATGTACTTCTTCCTTTTCAGTTTGGATGCCTTTTTTCCTTGCCTAATTGCTCTGGCTGGGACTTACAGTACAATGTTGAATAGAAATAGCAAAAGTGGGCATACTTATCTTTTTCCTCATCTTAGAGGAAAAGCATTCAGTGTTTCACCATTGAGTGTGGTGATGTTAGCTGTGGGCTTTTCATATATAGCCTTTAGTATGTTAATTTAATTCCTCATGCTTAGCACATTAAGATAAACTTATCAAGATAAATAGACAAAGCAGCTAATGATTAGTGGTGGCTAGCAGCTGCAAGATCAATATTTCAGCATTTCTGTAACGCATCCATGGCATATTGGTTGGGAAGCTCTGGATTAGGCTTTTTCATGCAACATGGCAGACAAGAAATTTCAAAGGACATTTTCCTTTCCTAACAATTAGATCCTGTGTCAAATTCACAAGGAAACAAACCACCATAAGTGAGAATCAGCACGAAACAATGAGTAACATATTTAGATCCTCAGGGACTTAAGGTATGATAATCAGATATACAATATCACAGAACTGTGTATGAGGTGTTTAAAGAAAGAAAAGATGAAATCACAAAAAGAGAACGCAACAAGAAATTATAAAATTATTAAGCAGATTTGCCACAGAAATTAAAATTTTTAGAAATGAAAATGTAATTGTTTAAAAACAAGCACCCCCTCAGCTGATAGGTTAAAGGGCTATTTAAACACATCTGAAAGTGAACAGAAATATAGAACTGAAGAAATTACCCTGAATCCAGCACAAAGAAAAAAAAAGAGATGGAAAATATAAAATAGAGGTTAAGCTATAGAGGACAGATGAAAATGTATGTGATCTATTCAGAGTCCTCGAAGAAGAGAGGAGAGAATGGAAGGGATCCAGTGTTTGGAGAGAGAATGGATGAACATAGTCTCAAACTAAAGAAAGTCATGCACAACATGTATCAAGCAAAATGAATAAAAATAAATTCATATCTAGATATATTACAGAGAAATTAAAGAAGATGAAGGCAAAGAAATCTTTAAAAACAAGAGATACACAGGTATCCATAACAGAGCAGTCTTGCTTCTTAGAAGCAAGAGGGCACCATTGCACTGGCAGTAAGCTCATCGGTAACAATAGCAGAAGTCAGAAGACCAACCTCTTTAAGGAATGTTTATCTAGGATGGTCACACCACTGACATCAGGTGTCATACGCTTGATCATCTCTGAATGTCACAAAAATCTGATAAAAACGGATTTTTCCCCCTTTTTTTCTTTTTTCTACAGACCTATCCCCCTTTGTTCTATTGTTTTGATAAATAGCCAACTTGATAAAATTGAAGGAAGGAAACTGCTTGTGTCCTGTAATGTTCAGAGCGTTGATGAGAAGATCCTATACACAGAGGCAACAAGTAAGGAGCTGCCACTCCCTTTTTTTGGTTTAGTTTGGTTTGGTTTGGGTACTTTTCCTTTGGGGGGTTTGTTTGAGTGAGGGTTTTTTTTCTGGGCCGATTTTTGTTGTTTTGTTGATTGTTGGTTTTGTTTTGTTTTTTTTGCTTTGGTTTTATAAGCCATACATGCCCAGAAAATTTTAATTTCCTGTCATTCAAAGAATAAGTTAAAGGTATTCCATACACATGCCAGTAGGGAGCTATTTGCCAACATTTATCAAAATTACAGCATCATATATATATACCCTTTGACCCATTTCCAGGACTTAATCCCACAAGTGTACTAACTTGTGCAAAATTACAATGTATGCAGTTGCTCTAGGGTTCCAGTAATTGTGTGGTTTATGCAGCGTTATTTGGGATAGCACAAGATTTGGCAAAACACAGATATCCATAGATAGGGACTGATTAAAAAGATAACAGGTCATCCATAAACTGTATTGTGTGTGCCATAAAAAGGTACTGTGGGCCCTGGCTGGGTGGCTCAGTTGGATGGAGTGTCCTCCCAAGCACCAGAAGGTTTTCTTATTTTACATGAGAAAAGAATTCGCAACATTTTACTAGTGTCTTGGAGATGCAGGTCTCTTCCTTCTGGGATCTCTATAGCAGTCTGTTAGAAATGCTCACATAGAGATGCTCCCCAACCGCATCCGGGGCACAGCGCAACTCCCCGCTCCCACCTTTGCAGGTGGGGGACCCTTGAAGCCTCACTTTTACTCACTTCAGATTTAGACAAATTAATTTAGATATCCAGTGCTTTTTGTTTGTTTATATTTTTTCTTGTAACGAATCCCAGATGCAGAGGTTTGGAAATATATATTTCTCCTTTAGGATACACAGTCATCATTGGTACATGAATGATCATCTCATTTATTCATTCACTAATGTATCTGTTTTTTAATTGAATAATAAACACCCTGGAACCTATCATCAAACAAGAACCAGAATCTTAATAGTTTATCCCTGCCCAATTACTTTTCCTCATCTCATTCTCCTGCATTTCCTCCAGAAGTAACTCTGGTCTAGAATTTTGGGGGTTTTATTCCTTTGTACCTTATTATTTTTTTAAAATCAAGAATATAGGTGTACCTAAGGAATATATTGTTTAGTGTTTGCTTTTGAACTTGGTAGGAAAATTTTGTGCTGCATGTGCTTGTTTGGGATTTAATTTTTTGTCACTCAGCTTCATGGTCCTGAGGTTCACCCATGATGCTGGCTATGTAGTTTGCCCGTTTTTACTGCTGTATAGTATCCCACTGTCTCACAATGGATTTATCTCCTCTTCTGATGGTGGGCCTCTGACTATTATGAATGGGGCTGCTACAAACATTCTTGGTCATGTCTGCTGGTGGTGTGCATGGGCCGGCTCTTGGCATGAACTGAGGAGTAGTATTTCTGGGTTGTAGAGTATGAGAGTGTTCAGTTCTACAGGGGAATGTCAGATTGTTTTCTAAAGTGGTGCCAGTTTACACACCCACCAGCAATATATGAGATTCTGTTGATCCCCATCTTCTCTAGCAGTTGGTAAAATCAGACTTCTGGATTTTTGCCAATCAAATGGTTATAAAATTGTATCTTAGTGTGATTTCGATTTGTATTTCTTTGATCACATACGGAGTTGAGCATCTCTTCATATATTTATTGACCATATTTGTTTCCCATTCTGTGGCATTCCTATTTGTTCAGCCTCTTTTATTGTGTTTTTTTTCTCATTTTTTCTGGTTTATGTTTATTATGTTATACTAAACTAATCTTTTTATTGAATACATAAACTGCATATATTTCCTTTTAGTATGTAAGTTGTCTTATTTTCTTTAAGGAGTATTTTTTCTGAACAAGAGTTTTTCATGTTAATATAGTCACCTTTATTAACTTTTTTCCTTGATGGTTAATGCTTTTTGTGTCTTGTTTAAGAAATTCATTTAGCCCCTAAGCATCAGCTATTTGCAGGAATGATGGATGAAAGAAGCAGGAGGAAGACCATGAATAATTTGAATCCGTAATCAATTTAAAAACTCCATTCCAGGCTGTGGTTTATACTTCCTATCTTACAAAATCTTTCAGTATCCTAAAGGTACCAGATGGCCCGGTTGTAATAGTACTTCCTTTCACTTCCCTGACTCTCTGTAATGAAAGTGGTAATGAACCATGAAATGACCAAGTGGTAGAGGATCTGGTTACCTAGGGAAGGTAATACAGTATTGATATCATCAAAAGTTGATTCATAATTTTGCTGAAAAATGAGAGATAGACTGAAGGTACAAATATGAATCTAAATGCCTTTCTTTGAATACATATTTCTACTTAGAGAAGTCTCATGAGGTTGAAGTCAGTTGACTTATAATCATCTTCTGGTTTTTTGTTGTTTGTTCATTTAGGCTTATTTATAAAGCTGAATCCTGAAAAAGAGTTTCACATAAAAGAGCTTGTGTTGAATTCTGCTCCACCTGCTTAAGGCTCTCTGTCCTTCACAAGAGGCTGTGTTCCCCAGTCCTGCTCTGCTCGCCCACTGTGAGCCCCTATACGGTGAAGCCTGCTGACACTGCCTTTATGAACAGTCTTCTGAATGCAACTCGAAGAGCTCCGTTTCCACCTTCTACATTTCCTAACACAGAAGCACTTCCTATGAGAGTATCAGCAATGTTAGAATTGCTGTGTCACCTGTAAACTTGAAAATTCCAGAAAACCAAATGAAGGAGCAAATATGTGCATGCATATTTGCATGTGTGTCTAATGTGTGCATGCATGCATTCATGATTTGTAAATTCCAAAGCTAATCTTGTTGTATCTAAAATCTTTTTGAGCCTGGCCGGCGTGGTTGAGTGTCGAACTATGAACCAGGAGTCATAGTTCGAATCCTGATCAGGGCACATGCCCGGGTTGCAGGTTTGATCCCCAGTGTGGGGCGTTCAGGAGGCAGCCGATCAATGATTCTCTCTCATCACTGATGTTTCTATTTCCCTCTCCCTTCCTCTTCGAAATCAATAAAAATATATTTAAAAAATAAAAATAAAATCTTTTTTACTATAGTAGGAAACACAACTAGTTCCTATAGGAATAGATTCCTCAGTGCAGTTCTCTTGGATTCTAGGGATAACACCACTGTGCCATCTTTAACATGGGCAGTGCAGTTGTGTCTTTCCAACAGCATAGTTTCTCATCACTGGAAGGGACCTGGTTTTGTTTCCTGTGTGTCTTAATCTATTCAGCTGCTATAACAAAATACCACAGACTGGGGAACTTATAAACAACAGAAATTTAATGCTCATGGTTCTGGAGGCTGGAAAGTCCAAGATCAAAGCGTCAGCATGGCCACCTTCTGCTGGAGGCTTGCTTCCAGGTTCATAGCTGGCACCTTCTCACTGTGTCCTCACATGGAGGAAGGGGTGGGGCTGGGATCTCTCTGGATCCTCTTTTATAAGGGCACTAATCCCATTCATGAGGGCTCCATCCTCATTAGTTAAGAATCTCCCAAAGGCCCCACCTATTAGCACCATCACATTGGACATTAGGGTTTCAACATGAGAATTTGGGGGCAACACAAACATTCAGACCATAGCATTAGGGCTGCCATAACAAAGTACCACTAACTGGATGCTTCAAACAACAGAAACTCATGGTCTCACAATTGTGGAGACCAGAAGTCCAAAACCAAGGCGTCATCGAGGCCATGCTCTGAAAGCACCAGGGAAGGAGCTATTCTGAGCCTCTCTCCCAACTGCTGGTAGCCTCAGGCCTCCCTTGGCTTGTAGACACAGCGTGCCTCATTTTATGGTGTTTCACGCTATTGCGCTTTACAGATACGTTTTTACTCACTGAAGGTTTATGACAATCCTGTCTGGAGCAGTTCTCATAGGCACCATTTTTCTAACAGCATTTACTCAGCATTAGTCTCTGTCACTTTTTTTTTTAATCCTCACCTGAGGATATTTTTTCCCATTGATTGTTTTAGAGAGAATGGAGGGGAGGAAGGAGAGGAGAGAGAGAGAGAGAGAAACATCGCTGTGAAAGAGACACATCAATCCGTTGCCTCCTGCACACGCCCCAACTGGGGCCAGGGATTGCACCCGCAACCCTTTGTTCCAAGGGCCGACACTCTAACCACTGAGCAAAACTTGCCAGGGCTCTGTGTCACATTTTGATAATTCCCACACCATTTCAAAATTTTCCTTATTATATTTTATAGCAATCTTTGTGTTACTATTGTAATTGCTTTAGGGTGCTGTGAACTCTGGCTATAGAAGATGGTGAGCCTAATAAATGTGTGTTCTGACTGCTCCACTGACTGGCCATTCCCCCATCTCTCTCCCTCTCCTCAGGCCTCCCTATTCCATGAGACAGCAATATCAAAATTATGCCAATTAACCCTATAATGGCCTTAAAGTGTTCAAATGAAAGGGAGAGTCATGTCTCTTTAAATCAAAAGGTAGAAATTATTGAGGTTAGTGAGGAACGCACATTGAAAGCCAAGATACACTGAAAGCCTGTACCAAACAGCCATGTTGTGAAATCAGAGGAAGTTTTTGAAGGAAATTAAAAGTGCTGCTCCAGTGAACACACGAATGGTGAGAAAGCAAAATAGCCTTATCGCTGATGTGGAGAAAGTTGTAGTGGTCTGGGTAGAAGATCAGACTGAGAGGGTTGTGTGGGCCCACACTCGGTGTCTACTCCTTTGCAAACCCTAGTAACCAGGTGGTGAGGGCTGTTCCCTCCCACTGTGTTCCAGGTGCTCACCCACACCTGCCAAGGTGCCTGCAGGCCAAGCCTTCAGCCACAACATTCCCTTGGTCAAAACCTAATAAAAAAACACACAAACCTAATCCAGAACAAGGCCCCCTGCAACAAGAGTCCCAAGAGCGTAAGAGCAACCAAGAAAGTGAGTTCCTTTGTTTAGGGCAGCGGTTCTCAACCTGTGGGTCGCCACACTTTGGGGGTCAAGTGACCCTTTCACAGGGGTCGCCTAAGACCATCGGAAAACACATATAATTACATATTGGTTTTGTGATTAATCACTATGCTTTAATTATGTTCAATTTGCAACAATGAAATTGGGGGTCACCACAACATGAGGAACTGTATTAAAGGGTTGCGGCATTAGGAAGGTTGAGAACCACTGGTTTAGGGGATTAAATGGTCCAAATTTCACACCCTTGCAGTGGCCGTACCCATTCTGGCCAATGACCTATTCCCAGCTGTGACTGACAGACAAGGACCTTCCTGGGGTCACCCCAACATTACTGGGCATGCGTCTGTTCTCCCTGTCTGTCCCTTCTCCCAGTGATCTGCAGGGAATAGATCGGTGGCTCCCTGGGGAGTGGAAAGCTTTAGCTTCCTGGTGAAGCTGTCCAAATGACATGTCTATGATAATTGGCCTTCCCTTTGCTCCTTTCCTTTTATTAATAACTGGGTTAATTACAACGGTATCACATTGTTTCTGAGTATGTATATCCACACCAGGGTATGACTGTGGAGTGTGTCTGTGAGTATGCGATTGTGTGTGAATGCATATATGAGTGTGTGTGGCCATGCATAGTATATTTGTGAGTGTATGCATTGCACACGCCCGTGTGTGCACACGTGCACCTGTGCATGCATTATAAGAGCCAGGTAACTCTGGAGCTGCACCTGCCAGAGGTGGGGAGCAGGGAAGCAAGTCACTGGCGTCCTCAGTGTCCGGGAGCCAGGCCAGCTCAGCCTAACAGAAGGCACCGGGAGGGAGCAAGACTTTCTCTGCACCAAGGAACTCTACACCTGAGCAGCTACGCCATTGTTCTTTGCTGACAGGGCCACCAACGCACAGTGGTGATGCCGTGTGCCCAGTGCCCAGCCGTGGACAGAAGACCTTACCTCCAAGGAGGCCACATCTCCCAGACTCCCCTGCCCAGCTAAAGGCCAGCAGCCAGAGCCTCAGGGAGGAAATGCGCTCCCTCCCCCCCCCCCCCCCCCCCCCCCCCCAGTGGGTTCTTCCTCTGTCCTCATGGACAGAGCCTAAGGCAGAGCCCCCAGAGCCAGATACCCCTGAACAGCTCGGCTTCCAAGAAGGAATCCATGGCCAAGTAGTTTAATAGGAAACTTAATCTTGCCATGCCGCTCACAGAATGGAATGCTAAAATTGCCCTCATTCCCCAGAGGTATGAAGACAGAGTCCTACCAGCTCCCAGGGAGGAAGAACTGGTTTTTCATATGCTAACCATTCTGGCCTGTGCTCTGGGAACTCTTGTGAAAGATAAGAAGGATTTTGAAAGAAAGGGGATCCCTCCACCCCATCTCAGTGGAGGTCTGAGGATTGTCTAGGGAGCCAGGAAGTGAAAAAGGGTGACTATAGGGCAGGTAGCAGGGAAATTTGCCCCCAAAAGGAGAGGGCACCTTGCTTCGGACGCACAGAGGAGGGCTGGAGGTAGAAGAGCCCTGAGTGGCTCCTCTGTGTGGAACAAGGTTCAGAAACTCCTCCAGGAGCCACCTGGGAGCTAAGCCATCACCTGGCAAGCATCTCCCTCCACCTGCTCCTAAGATCTGGTGGTGGTGCTCCTGGGGCCTGATGAGGACTTGCCTTCACAGGCCCACACTGCACCTACTCCTCCTGTGACTCAGCAGCAAGACTGATGCACCATCAGGGCCACAGGACCTAGGCCTGTACCCATCTGATTATCTTATGTGGACATATGCTCCACTCCCAGGATGCCCATGGCCCCGAGGAAAGGGAACAAGGGTCACCTTTCTAGGAAGGCTCGTGAGCTTGCTCCTTGACCTTGTTTACAATTAGTAACACCTGGTTTCAGAGTTCTCAGGGGATAAAGGGGCTCAGGATATCATGGGGGCAGGTGGTCATCATTTCATATGCTTTTAAAATGATTTGACCTAACTTTCTACTCCAAGCTGGTAAAGCAGGTGTGCCATTGGCACCATGTGGCTGTCTCATTGGTCTGGAGAAACCACCTCTCAAGTGATTGTCTGGGTTGAAGACAAGGGGATTTCAGGTCTGGCTTGGGCCTATGAGCCCCACCCTGAGTGTGTAAACACACACACACACACACACACACACACACACACACACACACCCTTCAGCATTTGTTACTTTCTGAGCTTAGAGGTCTTGCCTCTGCCTCTTAGTGTTTCACAAATAGGAACTCAGTTCCAGTTGAGCTGTGGTAGGGGCTCTCCCATTTCCAGGGGAGCTCAGGGTCCCCTTGGTCCTGGCACATTCTCTGCCCCTATATCAACCGTGGGCAAACTACGGCCTGTGGGCCGGATTCGGCCCGTTTGAAATGAATAAAACTAAAAAAAAAAAAAAAAAAAGACCGTACCCTTTTATGTAATGATGTTTACTTTGAATTTATATTAGTTCACACAAACACTCCATCCATGCTTTTGTTCCGGCACTCCGGTCCAGTTTAAGAACCCATTGTGGCCCTCGAGTCAAAAAGTTTGCCCACCCCTGCCCTATACTCTGCTGGGACCCCCTCCATTAGCCTAGTGATCGATCACACGGCTTATCAGCCCTGCCCTCTCAGGTGTGTACCCACCCAGCCACCGGGGCCCTCTGGGCAGAGCCCTTAGCAACCACATTCTTACCTCCATCCTGTGCCCCAGGCTTGGTGAAGATAGCCTCTTCCCTATGTGGGCTACCCTGAAGCTGTGCTTCCACCCTTCCCCAAACTTCCCCATTAACACTTTCCACCCACACCAAGACCCAAAACCTTAAAAACTGGATGAAGCAAAAACCCTGAGGCAGCCCTGGCTTACGTGGCTCAGTTGGTTGGAGGTTCATCCAGTACACCAAAAGGTTGCGGATTCGATTCCTGGTCAGGGCACATACCCAGGTTGCGGGTTTGATCCCTGGTTGGGGTGCATAATATCGCAGCAAGAGAAGCCCCCAAACTCAACAGTTCCCTCTAGTCAGGCACCAAGAGAGGGAGATCCCCCTGGGATGTGTGATTTGCGAAGAAAGTCTGGTCGTGCAAGGGTGATGACGCAGCTCCCACGTGGCTCTGAAGCAAAGAAACAGAATCCCCTTTCCCAGCTGCAGCTACTGACTCTCGGAAGAACAGCCCTTGTATCACCCCTGGGCAACCTTTCTGGGATCAGCTCCCAGCCTCAGGGGCCCCTGTGGAGCCCCTCCCCTCCCCATTCTCTTTTCCTCGGACCCCTCTTCAGTCCATCTGCCCTTTCTATGATCCCCCTTTCTCTCCTGTCTCTTCCTTGAGTCCCATCTTGCAAATCAAGAGTCACACACAGCTGCCCCGCCGGAAGTGAAGGTGTGGGTTCCAACGCGGCTCTGAGCGGCCCCTGCCCAGATGGCAGCAGTAGTTCTAAGGGGAAACACATGGGCCCTGAGTGTATCTTCCCCAATCAAACCAAGGAACTGGGGCTGCACCAGGGCCCTGCAGAAGGCACTGTGGGTTGGAACAGTGAGGAGCCTGAGGAAGAGCAGGAGAAAAATGGGGCAGGCCCAGCTGGCGACTCCTCTCAGTCCCTGAACCACGATCCTGAACTGGCACCGGTGGGGGATGGAGAAGATGTAGTTGCCAATATCCAGGATCCGATCCAGGCCCTGGGATTCATTTGCCAGAACCACCATTAGAGAGTGAGGATGAAGATGAGGGAGAGCTATAGTGTTGAGCAAGAACAGCCCTATTTCCATGGAGCCAGAACAGGTAGAACTGGTGAAAAGGACATTGGCCGGAGTAAGCCTGCTTGCCTCAGGGGTTCCTGCCTGTGCTCGGAGATATCAGATGCCCAGTGGGAACACGTGGTAGCGAAGGCTCTCCAAGCCCGCAGGCATCCCCTACCTGGGAGGAACCAGCTTGAGAGCTGCCCTATCTCCCTGCATTCCACACTGGAGCCAGCACAGGACTAAGCTCTTCTCCCTGTCCACATCCAGGTAAATCCGACTTCTTCTCAGAGACCCACTGTATTCAGTTCTGTGCATATGGGGACATAGGCCCAAGCCCAACCCACCATAGCAGTATCACTCTAGAGCAGTGGTTCTCAACCTCGGCTGCACATTAGAATCACCTGGGAATCCTTTTAAAATCCTGATTTCTGGGCCTCATCCTCTGGAAATTCTGTTTCTTTGTTATGGAGTGGGGCCACAACATTAGTAATATATATATATATCTCACACATAGAGGCTGGCAGAGGGCAGAGGGGAGGAAGGAATACTCAGTACTGGGACGGGGGGCGGGGGGCAGGGGCCTGCAGTGAACCAGAGGGCCCAGGGTGTCAGCTCCAACCAGCTGCTGCCACACAGGAATGAAGATGCACCCTTGCCAGACCTTTCCACTTATCAGGAGATCTTTGACCTTCTACTCTGTATGAAACTCTCTGTTTTTAAATGTTGATGACTAATGCACATATTTTTGGTTAGGCCCAGAACCCAAATCTATCAAAAAACTGGTTCCTCCCCTAGCCAGTTTGGCTCAGTGGATAGAGCATTGGCCCACAGATTGAAGGTTACTGGGTTTGATTCTGGTCAAGGGCATGTACCTGGGTTGCAGGTTCTGATCCCTGGCCCCGGTCCAGACGTGAGTGGGGGTAACCAATTGATGTCTATCTTTCACAATGATGTTTTTCTCTCTTTTCCTCTGTGTCTCTCTTCCTCCCTTCCATTATCTCTAAAAATCAATGGGAAAATATCCTTGGGCAAGGAACAAGAAAAACCTGGTTCCTCCAGTCCTTAACAAAGTTTCATCAGAGGCTCATACGAGGTGAGTGAAGTCTATCCTAGTCTTCTAGGGACAAAACCTTTAAATGTCCACATTATATCAGTTTAGCCTTTCAGATACCAAAATATCATCATCATTATTATCATTCCACCTTTGCACAGTTCTAATCTGTAGAATTTGCTTTATTCTAGTGAAGTAGAAACTGGCAGTTTTAACTCAAAAAAGAAGCACCACCAAAAAAGTCCACAGCCTTGCAGATGCTGGCTGAGCACTCCTCCCCCCTCCTCCACTCCAAGCCGCCTCATTTCCAAGCGTAGCAATGGCAAAGCTTCCACGGCCCTGCTCCCCCCCACCCCCACCCCCAGCAAGTCTGCTGCCACCATCCCCTCCCTGGGGTTCCCAAAGCACAGAGGGGCCTTGCTAAGCTGCTTCCTCCCACATGGTTTTTTGTCCTCGCCTCCACCCCACCTATCCCTGCCAGGACCAGCAGGTGGAGGCTTTCCTTGTCTGGGATAAAAGGGTGTGGCTAAGGCCTGTGCATTGGTTTTCTGAGTCCCAGACTGATCACAGAGCTTCTGGCACACAGGCCATGTAAACGCACCCTCATACACAGATGTGCCGCCAAAACCTTACACCAGTGATGTCGAACCTATGACACCTCTGACACGCGAACTCATTTTTTGGTTGATTTTTCTTTGTTAAATGGCATTTAAATATATAAAATAAATATCAAAAATATAAATCTTTGTTTTACTATGGTTGCAAATATAAAAAAAATTCTATATGTGACACGGCACCAGAGTTAAGTTAGGGTTTTTCAGAATGCTGACACACCGAGCTCAAAAGGTTCACCATCACTGCCTTACACTCAAGAGACACCATCCCAGCCTGGCTGGCCTGGCTCAGTGGTTGAACTTGGATCTATGAACCAGGAGGTCACAGTTCAATTCCCAGCCAGAGCACAGGTCTGGGTTGCGGGCTCAATCCCCACTGCGGGGTGTGCAGGAGGCAGCCGATCAATGATTTTTCTCTTATCATTGATGTTTCTATTGTTCTCTCCCTCTCCCTTCCTCTCTGAAATCAATAAAAAAAAATTAAAAATTTGAAAAAGAGACACCCTCCCATATCTTTCTGGGAATTCTCTTGGGTTCTCTCCCCAAACTCCAGAGCAGCTCTCCAAGTCTCCACATACCCTACATTATTTTTTATGCACTTTTTTGCTTCTTTAACAAATGTTTCTTTCTGAACTCAAGCCTGTCCTGCTATGCATTCGTGCCCAGGCAGCATCTGCCCTCCCCAAGCACTGGGTGGGGCTTGGGGCCATCTAAGGCCCCAAACACAGATGGGTGTGGCCTCAAACCAGCTTGGTCTTGTCCAATCACCTGCCCTGGAAGCTTGCTGATGAAAGCTTTGCGACAGAAAGGAGAGAGGCCTGGCTGAGAGCTGGCTGCACCCACAGCCCAGGGTGCAGATGAAAAGTGCTCTCACCTTGAGCTTCCAGCAGCCCTGCAGACCAGATCCCCGTGCTCAGCCATGATGAGGCGAGGCTTCCAAGCGGCAGCCACACTCAGCCGCCTCAGAGCCCTTCCTGGTGCGCCCCGCATCCTGCCCATACTCAACCCCGCCGCAGCATTCGGATCCTCCATTGACTCCCGGGTGAGTTCCCAGCTCAACTAGATGGACAGCCTTTCTTCTGGGGACCTTGGCAAATCTTCTCCCTGATTGTGGCTGGGGCAGGTGGGCAGGGTGTTGGGGAGCTATTTGATTTGGCAAAGGGAGGACTCTTTGAATACCAAGTAGCTCTTGGAATACCAAGTAGCCTACATCCAAAACTTTCGTCCTGGTCTGAGTTTGGTGTGGCCACCAATGAAATCATTTTTCTCTTGTGAGACTCAGACTGCTGCAGCAGAGGTGGGGCATCCCCAGACGGAGGACCCTGTGAGTGGTCTTGGCAAGCCCGGGCTTACTGCCCCCCATTGTAATTGGTGCATAAGCACTATTGCCATGGGAGAACCCTCGTCCCACAATTTGTACCGCACCTCTCCGGGCACCCAAAACATGTCTCAAAGGAGCCACCCTGCCAGGGCAGGCCTACAGCTGTGGGCAGAGCTGGAATGGCCCCTGCCAGTCTCTCAGAATGGGCTCTAGTCTGACCATCAGCTCTCACAATCACAAGCTTGGCAGCCTTAGCCATATTTCCTCCATATCCCCATTTCTACAGGGGGCGGGGGGCTAATACTAGCAATTCACAGTCTCAAAGAACAGCTCACAGGTTTGTACTCTTTTATTTTTTAATTTCAAACTTTCATTTATTAGTGTACTACTCACACCCCAATTTCCAAACATATCATTATTGTCTTGGTCATGGACATTTCCAAATATGAGAGTTTATATTTCACTCCCATCACTGCCGGCGATCAGAAAACCCACGCTTTCCTTTATTAAAGGAGTTCAGTCCTGCTGAGGTTAGAGTACCCCTTCCAGTCTTCATCCTCATCTTTGCTTCCGGAGGCACTTCCTCTGCTTGGCTCTTTTCATCTTCATTAAAAGCTGCTGCTACCACCGAAAGGGTTTTTGGAGCAAGAGTTGGAACAGTTTCTCCAGGTTTCCTGGCTCTAAGTCTGAGGGAGATGGCTGAGGTTTTCTTCGCCATCTGACTACTATGGCAGGTCCAAACTTGGAGATCTTGTAGGCCTTGTTGGGAGGTCTGCAGCTTCTTCACCCATCGCTTCTCAGAGATGTGACTGGGGCTTTCCCCTCCATTACTCTGGCGGCTCCAGCTCCCTGCAGCTTCTCCGGCTTTTTTTTTTTCCTCCAGCTCGCGGGTTTTAAAACAGGACAATTGTAACGCACAAAGCACTAGCAGTATGCCCTTCCCTCACTGTCAGCCCCAATTCCTTTCTTTCCCTTGCCCAGTCACCCACAGGGGTCCCCAACCCTCCCCCCATCCCCACCTCCCCACACCCCTGCAAGGAGGAACCCAAGAATGCACACTGCCCAGAAGTCCTGCAGCCCAAGCAGCAGTCCCCACCCCACCCCCAGGAAGCTAGCTGTCTAGTCTCCCTGATTTTTCGTACCCAGATCTCAAGATTCTGCCCAAAGAAGACAGACTTTAAGGATTATGCCCTTCCCAATGCCAGCTGGTGTCCCGACATGCTGAGCCTGTACCAGGAATTTCTGGAGAAGACCAAGACCGACGGCTGGATCAAACTGCCCTCCTTCGCGTCCAACAGAGAGCATATCCAGGGGCTCAAACTCCCAACCGGATTAGCAGTTACCCCGGGTAAGACCTGGCCGGAGTGGTCACAGCAGCACAGGTGTCCCAGCCCACGGGAGTCGGTTCAGCCAGCCCCTTTCCCTGCGTTCAAAGATTCTGGGGAAGGAAACCACAAAGCCCCCATCCAGTTCTCAGCCGCAAGTTCTTTCTGCTAATCTCAGCCCTCTTGCCGGCAGTGACTGTATCTTCTCCTCCCATTTGAAAAGAGAGCGCATCCTAGCGGCCTCACTGGAGAACTGCCTGCTCAGCCTCTGTCCTGCCTCATCCCAAATCCTCCTTCCCCAACTCAAAAGTTTTTGGGGGGCCCGTCTCCCACCGCAGGCCTGGCCCACCGTCCATGCTCTGCTAGACCCAGGCCGGCTCTCCTGAAACGCCCACCAGTCAGACTGACAGAGCTTCCCACCTCCATCTTCCTTGTACGTGTGTGTCCGTATTTTCTTGTCTCGCTCATTCATAAATATGATTTTCCTGCCCAGTGATGAATGTACACAGTACAGTACAAAGACTACCGTTTGGGTTTATGGCACACACAAAAAAAACCAGGGACACCAAAATAATTTTTAAAAGAATTTGGTATCTATACAAAAAGGATATAGTTGTAGTTGACTTGAAGGAAGAAAAATATCAGAATTTTGGTGGACTTTTCAGCACTTATTTTGCTGTTTAGCATTGTTGTTATTTTGAATTACTATCTGTGAATGCCATGAGTTGTGTTTTTTAATTTTTTACTGTTTAAAGTCTGTTAAAGTCTTCACTTGACATTGACCCTGTCCCCACCCTCAACCAGGGATCTTTCTGAGTGTTTCTCCCTCCAGACCAAGGGCTCCCTGGGGACAGGGCTGTGCCTCTGGTCTCAGATGGAAGGCTCTCGGCTGGTGGAGCCTGGCTGTCCTCTGGTTCTCTCCGGACCCTGTGCCTGACTCAGGACAACCCGGGGGCTGCATGACCAGCGCTGCACCCTGAGCGGGCCCCATGCCCTGACGCACTCCCTGCTCCAGCTGCCACACTGCTCATCTCTCCCCAGACAACAGTGACTGCCGCATCATCACCAGGAGCCTCCAAGTGGAAGGACAAGGCTACGAACATGCCATCTTTTTTAACCCATCTGAGAAGAAGTCCGTCTGTCTTTTCCAACCAGGCCCCTACTTGGAGGGGGCCCCAGGGTAAGGCCACCAGCTGAGGTAGACGTCCTTGGCTGCTTCCTAGCCTTGGCTCAGGAGGTGGATTGGGGATTGTTCCTCTCCCTAAGGAGCTGGGTGTGTGTGGGGGGGGGTGCCCTGGACTGGAAGGACATCCGGGTCACCAGGTCCAGTCCCATTGTGAAGATAACAGAGAGCCTCCTTGCCGAGTCGGGGAATTTTCCAGTAAGGGATTTTAGAGGCCGCTCTGAGACAGATGTGGTGAACTTAGAAGTGGACAAGATCTGGAATCAGGAGCCCAGCTTCCAGTCCTGCTCTGCCGCTGCTGGCCACGGGACCCCAAGCAAGCAATTTAACCTCTGGCTTTCTGTCTCCTTACCTAAAACCTGGGGCAAGGATATATACCTTCCAGAGAGGGTCTGTGTGTATGTGCTCATGAACCATAAGGCACAATCTAGCTGTCATACACCATCTATCCACGCTTCATGTTTTAGCCACCAGCAAACTGAGGCAACTTGCCCATGGTAGCACAGGCAGCCAAGGTCAGATGCAGGACTCTAGTCCAGGCACTGGGGCTCCAAGTCCACTGCTCTCTCCATTGTACTCTGCTGCCTCCAAGCTTGGAAGAGAGCCAGGAAAGAACTCACTCTGGACATAACTATGTCTTGCCAAAGGCCACTGACCCATCAAGTCCACAGTTGACTTGCCTTCTCCATCCCTGCTCCTGCAAGGAGAGAGAGAAGGAGGGATAAGGAGCAGCTATAGGGTCCCAAGACCTGAGAAGGACTCATTTGTAGTTAAAAAGAATTCAGAGAGTTTAGTAGATGCCAGCACCTGCAGAGGTGGTGAGTTCAGACTGTAGCCCTCGGTCCCCTAGGCTAGAAGTTGGCAAAATACCAACTTCTGCACATGAGCCACGAAGTTTCAATCGCACTGTACATGCGCGCCCACACGTGGTATTTTGTGGAAGAGCCACACTCAAGGGGCCAAAGAGCCGCATGTGGCTCACGAGCTGCAGTTTGCCGACCACTGCTCTAGGCCATCCCAAAGGCATCTTCCATGGAGACACTGGTTCCCACCCTAGTGCATGCAGACACTGAAGGACTAGGTCAGGATCCCCTCCCTTCTGAAAACCTCAAAAAGGCAGTGATGGGGTGGTGGTGACTGGCTTTTATTTAAGGGCTCATGGAGGTGGGGCAGGAGAGGCCAAGGAGGACCATCCAACACTGGGGGGATCCAGCGAAGAGATTATTACTGAATTAGAAAAACCCAGTTCAGTCTGCCTCCTGTGCAGGAAAACACCCAGCTCTTCTCTACTGCGTCTTTTTCTTTTCTTTTCTTTCTTCTTTTTTCTTTTCTTTCTTTCTTCTTTCTTCTTTCTTTCTTCTTCTTTCTCTCTTTCTTTCTTTCTTTCTTTCTTTCTTTCTTTCTTTCTTTCTTTCTTTCTTTCTTTCTTCTCTTTCCTGTGTGCTACTCACACAGAACACTTCACTTCTGATATTTCTGGTCACCAAAAGTGTGACCACACCAAACACTTCTCTGGGACACCCGCTGGGCGTTCTACAGTTTTATTCAGTTCTGACCTGGAGATAGCGTCAGTTCCCACAGGTTAAGGACTCAGTCCCACAAGAGTGTCCCCCCCACGTCGGACCCCAAACCCAACTAGTAGGTCCCCAGGTTCCTCGCAACTTCTGTTTGACTTGGCTACAAACCTGAGGTTCTCACAACCCCTTCCTCAGGTTTGATTGATTTGCTAGACCAGCTCAGAGAACTCAGGGAAACAGGTTTACCACTTCAGTAAAGGGGAGGACAAAGAAGCCAGGTGAGCGTCCAGATGAAGAGGCGTGTGGAGCCCTGAGCGCAGGAGCTTCTGTCTCGGTGGAAGTGGGTGCGCCACCCTCCCTCCGGGTGTGAGTGTGTTTGCCAACCTGGAAGCCCTCTGAACTCCACACGTTTGTGATTTGATGGAGGCTTCCTCACGTAGGCGAGATGATCATTAACTCCATTTTCAGTCCTTCTCCCTTCTCAAGAGAATGGGGGCAGTGCTGAAAACTGCAAATGTCCAGTCCTGGCCTGGTCTTTCTAGTGCCCAGCCCCCATCCAGGAGCCATCTGTCTGACAAAGGATCTCGCAACCCCCCCCCCCCCCCCCGCGCCCGGAAATTACAAGGGTTTCAGGAGCTCTGTGCCCGGAATTGGGGGCAGAAACCAAGCCATATATTTTCTATTGTCTCCCAAGCACCCACCCAGCCCCTAGACAATGGGGAGAGATAGGTTACAGCAATTAGGTGATGAATCAGAAAAATGTTTTTCGATGAACTCTTAGGGAAAAACAACACAGAAACCTTTTTTCCTGGTGAAATAAAATAATTGTACATGGTTGCTAATACCCGCAGAAGCAACAGTTGATTGAGAAGGATTTGATCAGATGGGATCCAGCTCCATTCCCTTTCCTTTCCCGGGAAAGGCAGAGGTGGTGGTTCCACCTCAGGGTCCGGGGAAGGCCCAGGGAGCCAGTCTGCCCAGCCCGCAGCCCTGCCTTGCTTCCCACCCCCACCCCAGGTTTGCCCACGGAGGGTCCCTGGCAACCATGACGGATGAGACCTTTTCTAAAACTGCCTACCTGGCTGGAGAGGGGCTGTTCACACTAAGCCTCAGCATCAGGTTCAAAAAGTAAGTACTGTATAGAACCTCACGGTGTTGGCCAAAGTCATGGCCCTCTTCGTCACTGAGGGGTGGCCATCCTCAGCAGTTGGGGTGCAGGAGCCCTGCCTCAGTCTCCTTCCCCACCCGCTGCCAGAAAACCACCCCCGCCATCTGCTCTGGGAGCTGGCAGGCCAGCCCTGAGCCCAGAGCCACCCGCTTGAGGCGGGGGGGGGGGGGGGGGGCGTGAAGAGAAGGATGGGGGGACGGAAGGGTGAAGGGATGAGCGCCGGGGGTCCATGGGAGGGATGGGCTAAGCCAACTCCTCTCCCAGCTTGATCCCCGTGGGCTCACTGGCTGTACTAAACGTCAGTGTGGACAAGATTGAGGACCAGAAGCTTTACATGTCCTGCATCACCCAGACCAGAGACCAGAAGACAGTCTATGCCAAGTCCTCAGGTAAAGGGCTCCTTCAGGCCCAGGCCCTGTCCTGCCACCGCCAGCCCTCAGGCCAAATGGAAGAAAGGATGCTCAGGACCCAGTCCCACTCGGGGCTCCAGCTTCTCCGCCTGGGATTGGGCGCCTGCTGTAGACATGGGGGGAGTGAGGGAAAGATCAGCTAGGATTTTTTAAATTTTTTAATTAATTAATTTGTAGAGAGAGTGGAAAGGAGGGAGGAGGGAGAGAGAGAAACATCAATGTGAGAGAGACACATCAATTGGTTGCCTCCCGTACCCGGGGCCAGGGATCGAGCCCACAACCGAGGTACTGTCCTTGACTGGAATCGAAGGCGGGACCCTTCAGTCTGCGGGCTGGTGCTCTAACCACTAAGCAAAACTGGTTAGGGCATAGGATTTTTTTTTTCTATGTGTGAGTTGCCCAACCTGCACCACAGGACAGGATTCCAGGTAACTAGATGCAAATGCTCAGAGCACCCCACCAAGCTCCTGCCATCTCCGCCCTCACGCCTGCCTCTCACTTGCCCTTCTTTCTCTTCCAGGTGTTTTCCTTCAGCTGCAGCTGGAACAGGAGTAACAGGAGAGCCTACCTCTGACTGTTCTGTCTGCTTGGGAACCCCCCAACAGGTTGGGGGGGCTCTCCATGGAATCCACTGATGAGGTGAAGGAGGGGGCACTTTCCTCTGAGCAAATAAAGTCTCTCGGCCCCATTTCAGCTCAAGACCCTTCTTGTAGTTGGAAATGAAAATCCTTCCAGGGCCTCCCACACACCCAACTTCCGGTCAATACCCACGGAAGAGATCTGCTGAGCCTCTGCCAAGCACCAGGCGCTACGTGAGGCACTGAGCACACAACAATGAAAAGACAGGACCCCTGGCCTTGAGATGCACAACCACGGGCCAGGAGCTGAATACACAGAATGGGGTAGGCGTTGAGGGAAAGAGGAGGAGGGCAGGGACAAAAACAGGCCACAGAGGCTTCATAAACCCTGCTGTGAGCTTGAACTCTGTCTGATAGGCAACAGGATGCCTTAACAGGGTTTGGGCCATAGCCAAAACCCGTGTGGCAAAAAACTCCCCCCCCCTCATATACTCCATAAAAACCCCTTTCTCTTTGTGTGCTTTCACAGTTGCCCTTGATAATCTGTTAAACCCAGAGTCTAAATCATTGCATACCAAATACATGATTAACCTTGATTCGTGGACAAGAAGCACCTAATCTTCATTTTTTAAAAAATATATTTTTATTGATTTCAGAGAGGAAGGAAAGGGAGCAAGAGATAGAAACATCAATGATGAGAGAGAATCATTGATCAGCTGCCTCCTGCACGCCCCCCACTGGGGATCAAGCCCACAACCCAGGCATGTGCCCATGACCGGAATGGAACCTGGGACCCTTCAGTCCGCAGGCAAATGTTCTATCCACTGAGCCAAGCCGGCTAGGGCCCCAATCTTCATTTTAACACTCCCAAGAAAAGAAGGGAAATATATTCCATCCTTTATTGTGCAGCGAAGAAAAAACAGAACAGTTATACTTCAGTTTCCATATTAAAGTAGGTTGAATGGGTCCTGCCACTTCTCTGCCGGGGCCATTTTTTAAGAGAAACAGGCACGAGCTGGAAATCTGCAGAAGCTCTCTCTTGGGCAAGGCGCATAGCCAGGCGGGGCGCCAGCCGTAACTGGACAAGGCCAGGCGGGCAGGCAGGGATCTTGGTAAGGGAAGTAAGGTCATCAGCCTCTGAAACACTTCTTAGTGTCTAGGGCTTTGACAGCTGCCTCTGCTCTCCTAAGAGGCCACGTACTGCAGCTTTCTAGGCTGAAACAACGGGAGCTGCTGCCTCCACGCTCCAAACACCCATCCCCATGCCCAGCGCGTTCATCTGGGAGGCAACTGCTGCCGAGGCAGATGGGGTGGGATCCAATAGGCCAGTGGTCGGCAAACTCATTGGTCAACAGAGCCAAATATCAACAGTACAACGATTGAAATTTCTTTTGAGAGCCAAATTTTTTAAACTTAAACTATATAGGTAGGTACATTGTTATTAACTTAATTAGGGTACTCCTAAGGCTTAGGAAGAGCCACACTCAAGGGGCCAAAGAGCCACATGTGGCTCTTGAGCCACAGTTTGCCGACCACTGCAAGAGGCCATCCAGGCAAAGGTGGCAGCTTATTCTGCTGGAAGCAGCGGCTGTGCTGTGTTCTTCAGGTGCCTGAGTTAAGTACCAGGAGAAAGAGTGAATAAGGCAACTGGTGTCTGACTTCATCTCCCCCTCACTCATCCTGTTCCAGCTACACTGGCCTCTTTGCCTCCTTGAACACTCCAGGAGTGTTTCAGAAACACTCCTCAGTGCTTCTGCCTGAGGGCCTTTGCACTTGCAATTTTCCCTTCATAGAATGCTTGTCCCTCGCCTTCCCTCCCTCCTTCCTTCATGTCATTACTGGAACATTACATTCTCCAGGGGGCCAGCCTGACCACTCTATTTAAAATTGTATACTCTCCTGATACCCGCTGTGAGCCTTCCCTACTTTAATTTTCTCCCCAACACTGATTTGCATTTAATTAATGATTTTTTTTTACTGATTTATTTTTGTCTATTGTCTTTCTTTCCCCACTAAAGTATAAACTCCATTGGCCAGGAGAGTTCTCTTTTTTCTCACTGCTATGTCTCCAGAGTCCAGCACAGTGCCTGCCCCAAAAAGGTAGCAAAGAACTATTGATGAATGAATGAATGAAGCCACAGAACCAAACTCCCCTGAATCCTAACCTACCTCTGGACTTACTACAGAAGCCAAAAATGTCCTTATTGTTAGGTCAGATGGAGTCGGGCTTCTGTTTTCTTACACTTTTGCAGAAGTCAGTTTAACTGATGCCCATGTGATCTCATGTAATCCTCATGCCAGCTCTGCGAGTCAGGTATATTTCTCTCCATTTTCCAGATGGGTAAGATGAGCCCTAGAGAGATGAAGTTACCTATCAGCAGTCACACGGCACAGACAGCATGTCACACAGCCCACATCCCAGCCTGTCTGACTGATGCCAAAGCCATGAGTTCTTGGCCACAGCACTGCATGTAGACCACCCTTCCCAGACACGACACCCAAGCTGAGCTGAGTCGGGAGCCACAAGAATGGAGAGCCTGGGGGGTCGCCATGAATCTCCGCAAAAGAAATGCTTGCTTCCTCTAAACTCTCAAGTATCAGATGTTAAAATAATCATCTTGTTTATTTCCTGCATTTCCCAGTCTTTTTTGTTATTGTTGTTTGCACATTTATTGAATGTCTCTCCCCTTAGACTCCTCCCCTTTCTATCTATCCCCAGCATCTAGTACGGTGAATGAAGGAATGAACTGATTCAAGTACAAATCTACTTAATATCATGAATTCATTCAACAAATTCTGACTGAATATCTGTCTTGTCCTCGTGATGCTTACAGTCTAGTAAGATATTAAATAATTGCATACATAAATCACAGGGGGAAATGTGATCAGTGCCATAAAGGAAAAGTATGGGGTGCTGTGAAACTGTACAGCAGAAGCCCCTAATTTATATGACAGGGTGTCAGAGAGGGCCTCCAGATCTGAAGGATGAGGGGTAATAATGGTCCAAGGTCCTAAGGAGGAAATGAGCTTGATGCCTTTGAGATACTGAAGGATGGTGGGCATGCCGGGGGTGCAAGTTGAGGGCCTCATTTTGCCAGCGGTGGGCTGTGCTTCCTAGGACCTGCCTATGGGGATAGGAGGGGACATCCTCCGTGTTTATGTTTAACTGCCTTTTGCCAAGGATGGGGGAAGGGCACACAGATAAGCCTGCCCTGGACTAGGATGGAACCAGCTCTGTCCTCAGTGTCTATGTCCATCCATCTTGAGCCTGGTCACTTTTCCTTGGGCCAATACAATTCAGAGAATTAGTCACTACAAGTCACTCTGTCTGGGAGAACAAGACAATGGAAGCCAAGGCCAGATTCCAGCAAGGAGGGTTTTGCAGATGTGATGTGTGTGGCCGTGGCTATGGGCTCACCTCCCTGCACCCTGATGGCCACCTCCCTCTCCCCTGAAGCCCTCCCCAACTCCCAAGGAGCCCAGGCCCAGCATCTGCACCCCAGGCATACCCACCATCCTTCAGGCTCTCAAAGGCATCAAGCTCATTTCCTCCTTAGGATCTTTGTATGGGGTCTCTCCTTGGACCATTATTGCCCCTCATCCTTCAGATCTGGAGACCCTGACACCCTGGCATATAAATTAGGGGCTTCTGCTGTACAGTTTCACAGCACCCCATACTTTCCCTTTGTAGCATTGATCACATTTTTCCCCCTGTGATTTATGTATGCAATTATTAACAGGGCAGGCTTGCTGTTACAAACCTGGGTGGAGGAAGGAGTTAAGAAGGCCAGGCTGATGGTCACAGAGACAGGGCGCTGTTTATCCAGGAAAAGAGGTCGTACGTAGGCAACGGCGGCCCCTGCCAGCTCCTCCCAGAAGGCCTGGGCTGGGGGAGCAAGCTGGAGAGGAAGCTGCTCCCCCGGGCTCTGAGCGCCTCCCGGCCTGAGGCCGAGACCCAGCGGCGGCCCAAAGGTGAGGCCTGCAGTCCGGGCACCGGACCGAGCCCGCGGTGGGCTCTGTCTCCCAGGCAGGCAGTGGGAAAACGCGCTCGCGAGGGTGCGGGGAGGGCGAGGTGGTGGAGCCTCCGGGAGCCGCTGGGGGTGGCGGGGAATCAATACTGCCTTTGTGCTCAGTGGTTTCCTAGGGAGAAAGGAGAGGAGAGTGGGAGGGGCGGCCCAGCGGTCGGCCCGCCCTGCAGACTCTGGATGCCGTGGGGCTGGGAGGCGGGGAGCCCGACCTCAGGGCTTGAGGCGGGTGGGATTCTGTGCCCCCGGGCAGGAGGCGGGGTGCGTCTCCTAGGACAGGCCCTGGGTGCTCGCAGGGCAGCAGCCAGGTGTGCAGCGAGTCTGCTTCTGGCCGGAGGAAGGCAAGGGAGGAGCCAGAGGAGGCTGGTGGGGCTGCGGGCCAAAGAATGGCTCAGCCTGGAGGAGCTTTCAGTGGGGCCTGGGATGGCAGCTGTGGGCCCCCGAGGGCCTCCAGATTAGACCGTGCAGCAGGCCCCGGAATGGGCTGGGGAGAGGAGGTGGGTGCGCCCTTTCAGGGGGCGTGTGTATATGAATGGGGTTCAGGACCTGGGCCCCTCTTTAGGACGACAGAGCTTGGGATAAACGGGTGTTACTCTGGTCCCCTAACAGGCGTCCAGGACTCTGGTGGATGTGTTGGGCCTTCTAACTCTGAAGTGGGTGGCATCTTTAGTTCCCATGGGAGAGCCCAAGGCCTGCATCTGAAAATCTAGCCCAAGGCTCCCTCCATGTCTTCCCGGGTCCCAGACTTCGCCATCCTTGGCTTTTCCTGCTCAAATAGAGGGGCCCGTGCGCGCCTTGGGCCCCGGGAGAGGTCGCGGCGGCGGCGGGCCCGGTGCGCTTTCCACCATCACCCACCCCGGCTCCTCTTCTCTCCGCGCCCAGCCCAGCTCCCCAGCCTCCGCCGAGACGCTGCTCCCCGGAACCTTTCGGCCCGAGGACCCGCACTTCCACCCCCCACTCGCCGCATGTGGCTCTTGGAGAAAGCTGGCTACAGGGTGGGCGCCGCGGAGCCCGGGGCCCGGTGGGCGCCCCGCAGCCTGCTCCCTAAGCGCCGCGCCCCGGGCCCCGCGGAACGCGCCTGCCCCAACGT